CCTTTTTTCAAGTTTGTGTTCATCTTCATAACATGTATATTTACTGAAATAACTCTTCCCTACCAAGGTATGAAGAAGAAAAGTTAAAAAAGAAACAAAAAAGGTATATGCACACCTTGAATGGGTTGCATCTAGACTAGTCCATTTGCATTGCACAGACTAACTCTTCCTTATTTGTTGGTTAGCTTATAAACAAAGATAATAGCATTTGTAAATATAAATACATCCCAACTTCCAGATATAGAGTGAATCCAAAATTTCTAATGCTGAATATGACTTGGATTCACTTTGTTTTAATACCATATATAATGCCAATTAGGAATTAAAGACCATAGCCCCTTCTTCCTTTTTGGTCTAAGTACTAAATACTAATGGTGAAACCAGAGAAATTACTAAGAATAGTATTTAGAACACTAAATCCTTTTAAGACTTTATCTGTTTCACCATCTGCTTTAAATCTCCAACTTGTGTTTTTGAAATACTTAGGCAGACATTTTAAAGGAATCAGTTTATTTCCCTGGGGTTGATTATTATATTTGCAATGCATATATTCTTTGGCTAACCAACATTGATTTTCTTTTATGCTTAAATTAAATGGCTTGCTAACCAGTCAAATTCTACATGTGATAAAATACCTAAAAGTTCAATGTACCATTTAACAGTTAAACACTCTGCTTACTATTTTAAATTTAATTTTGAATACTTCTGCTTTGAGCGTAACAAACTATTATCTATTAATATCTTAGCATAAAAGATGAAAGGCAAGGGTTATATAAAATAGCTATGATTTTTTTATAGTAATTTAGAAAAATGTAGAATTTGGATCTAATTTGTTAGTAGATTTTTAAAATACTGACAGTTAAGTTAGCAAAGCATGGTTTAATACAATCTTTCTTAAGAGTTAAGGGGAGAGATTTATATGTAGTTATTTAACCATTCTAAGGAACCAGCTAGCTGGTACTGGAACATTCTTAACTTTGAACCCATTGTGGTTCTGTTAATGAGTGAGAATTCAGTAGGCCATGTCATAGAATCATAGCTTTACATTTCTGTATGACACTTTACAGTTTAACCAACACTTTAACATAGAGATGTAGACAGTGACTTTAGATCATGCTGATTTCTCATTCCTTTCTAGGCATTGCTATGCATTTGCCAAACAAGTAGCTAAAATTAAAAATATAATCTGTAATTGTAGAATATTTTGAAACCATCTGCTTCATGCATTTCAAAACAAATTGCCTTTGTTGATGAAATGTGCTGTATTATGCCTTTTTAAAAACTTTATAGTACTGTCAAGTAATTCAGACATCAGGAAAAAAGTGAAATTTGTGTTTATTTAAATGTATTGTTTGAAACCTATCACTACTATTTTATCTTTAGTTTTTTTCCTTTGTGTTTAACCTTAAATAGGATCATTACACATATCTTTCAGGCACTTAGCATTTGAACAGAGTTTCTTTGGCCTTAAAAAATAATAAATCATTGTCAATATGAGAATGATGAGATTTAATTTTCTGAATTAAATAGAAAGGCATATTTTTAAAACCAAACCTTACAGGAAGATAGGTGCAAGAGAACTTATTTAAGGTGTCATCTCCATGATAAATACTGGTGCTAAGGAGAGTACAAAACTATCAATATTGAAATGTAGCCATTTTGGAGGAGGGTAGGGTGTCAAACCATTTTATTGAGGGGCTTATGGGGAAGAGGGTCAAACAAATGCCAAGGAAGGTGAGATCCAGTGTCCTCAGCCAAGCCAGGATCTACGTAGCCTCACAGTTGTGGGAAAAGTATAGAGCAGTTTTAAATGTTTCAGATATTTCTTTCAAACAACTCAGTGCAAGTATGGCCAGGCAGGTATAGATTGTTAAAATGTTGCAATGGTATTTTATTTTATTTTATTTTTTTTTTTGGACAGCCACAGAAGCTGTGAGCTTAAGGATATTTCACATGTTGAAAAGACTTGATATATTTTGCTTGCCTTATCAAGAATATATACTTTTCAAATTTTTGATACCAATATTAAAAACATTTTAAAATGTTCATCTATCTGGCTTTACCACAAACCAGGACTTGCTTTTGGGTCTGATTCATTAATGCTCAGGTGATCATAGTAATGGAAACAAATGTGAAAAGTATCTTCCTGTATCATACCAGATTGTTTTAAACATCCCCATGTCAGTTGTTCAAACTACTACAAAGATAATAGTAATAGACTGTTGTGTATTATCTTTGAAGGGTTGTCTGTAATTATTGTGTGGTAATTATGAAATCCTAATAATCCCCACATGCCTAAATTTTGATAAGAACTCTGTCCAACACACCATAATTGAATGAGATTTTTAATCTACATTTAGATAGTTCTGAATGTTAATTTCTTACGGCTTCTTACTATCAAAATAAATAAAAGGCATTCACAGACTAAGTGTACCAGTAGATTTTGGAGAACAATTGTGGTTTTTATAAATACACATTTTTTTCAGTGAATTTCAAAAATATTAATTGATGGCATTAGTGGCACTTTCATATTTTAGTTAACAAAATCATTTTTGAGGGAGTTGTTTTTCCTGCCAGTCTTACCACTTGGATCCCTGCCGAAGCCAAGCTACAAGTCACCATTTTAATATGCCTTTGTAATTTGAACTTTTAAGAAAGTTTATGTGCATTTGTATGTAAAGTATTTTATAATCTTTAAACAACAGCCACATTTCTTGCCAGTGTCCTCTGCCTTTTAAAATTCTCTTTTCTGGTTGGGGAAATAATGTTGGGCAACTTTTTTACTATGTCTGCTTCTTTGCAAAGCTTTATTTTTAACAGAATAATATTCTATGCTAAAAGTAGTCATTTTTTTGGAAAGAAAATTGTTCAGTTGCTTGTGTCTTATTATGGTATATTTTTCTTTAAACAGAGTCGATCAAGAGCTTAATGGAAAACAAGATGAACCGAAAAGTGAACAGTAAGTTTGGCATCTAGTCCAAACAAGACTGAAGAATGTGCTGATGAAGCAATGCTTTTTTTGCATTTATAATGCACTTATTGGCCCGTATTTTTATGTAATCTATTAGAAAATTGACTTGACTTTTCCTAATGGACTCAAGGGACTGTTCACTGCTGTATTGGTTTGCAAGTTATCTTGAATTTAGCTCGTTAATAGCTAACTACATTGTAATCATTTTATATTTTATATTGCTAAATAGCAGAGAACCACACTTTATATAAAGCAATTTTTGCATTTGTTTATTGAATGATGCATCTTCTTCAGTAAAATATTTATATGCATAAATGGTAAAGGAAAGAAATAATATATATTTTTATGTTTTTGAGCAATATTTTTTAATATGTACCTGTCTTGTGGAAAAATGTGCAGGTAAATAAGACCATGATTTTGTAAAATGTGTATTAGGATTTTTGTTTTTGTAGATGGTTAAATACATTTCCCAGGTAACTTAGAAAATTAAGTTGCTCATAAGGTGAGGGACAGTTAAACTGATTCTCATAATACCCAAAGATCATGTACATAATCTAAGTAGATTAGTACCATCACAAGCTTCTTTCTCACTTACATATTATTAATTCAGAAGCGCATTGCACGCTTTTCCTTTTTAAACTTTAAGACAAATCAAAAAGCCATTTTTAGAACCAGAGAATTTAAGAGGCTAGAAATTGGGGTTTTTATATATGTATATATGGGACATTTTATCTTCTGGCCCAAAGCCAGAACTTTTATAAAAATCTTGAGTTTGTTCACTAATGTGAAATAAGCTGTGTGTCCAGGGTATTGCTCCCCTGAAGGCAAGTGCTATGTAGTAGTGCAGAGACTGATGAGTTCTTCACTATCACAACTTTTTCTGTAGAAAACAGGGGCTGCTTTTTAAACTGTTCTCACTGCGGGCACTTTACCAAAATACTTCCATATCAGTTATTTGAACTCAAGAGTTGTTTGACCTAGTCAGATATGGTGTGTTTTCAAGTTTGTATTGAATAGTGTTTCACAATACTGCAAATTAGGTTAATTTTGTAAGTCTTTATGTCATTATATTGTGTGAAGCATATAAACTCTGTTTCATTTGTTAAATAGCTTTACATTGAAATAAATTGTGCTTGTGCCTCCAAACAGAGCTTATTACCCACAAAATCATTCTAAAACAACAGATTGGTGTAATATCGTGTTACATATGCGAGAGATTCTTGTACATTTAGTAAACTTAATACCCTCCAAATTTGAGGGTCACACTACTCTCCAACCCTTTCTGTAAGGTATTTTGGCCTGGAGTAGCAAAATTGAAGTGAAGTGTATGTGAGCTAAGCTTTTAAGATTTTTTTTCTATTATAGACTGAACACACGTGGCTTTTACCATTGCCATTTTTTAGTAAGTTTCTGTTACAAAAGGGAATTTTCCTTTACTTTTTGTCCTCAGTCTTAAACTTGGTGTGCTAACTCCATAATCCAATGGGAGATGCTGGAGAGTTCCCAGTTGAGACATTCCTCAGCAGATCCTGAACTAATGTTGTTAACAGTGAATTAAGCCAAAACCATTAGTGCTTATTCACATCTTAGAAACACTTTGTGTTGAAGAAGCAAACTAACAATAACAATTTAGGCATTCCTTCTGAATGTATCATATGAGGATTTTTTAATAGGTAGTTTTCCACCATATACTTGGTTCTTTGGTTTGAAAAATACAAAGAATAATTTCAGCTTTTTTGTGTGTTTATTGGTTTTTGCTTTTGCAGTCGTTGTTCCTAATTATAGATACAACTTGTTGCAAAAGTGATGCTTTTGTAAGTATCTTTTTAAGATAGAAGTGGCCTATGTGCTGTTAAACATTAAAATTCAGAGGGAACAGTGATAACACATGGGATGTGCTGTGAATCACTAGATTAAAAACATATCTGGTTTAACCTGCACTTTAACAGAATCTGGTATAGGGATGTGCCCAACAATAAATGTTTCATAACTATGACAGTTAAGGTCATAACTAGTAGGTTAAAAGAAAACCATTTAAGTTTATTTATAATTTGTGGCTATGTAATATTTTCTCATATTATTCAACTTACTGACTGAGGTGAAACTACATATAACTGTACTATTTTATCTTTCTGCTGTGGTCATGGGTCTGACTTGTTTGATGTTTCTGTCACTATTTTTTGTTACACATAGGCTCTGAGTGCCCCTTTTTACTCAATTTTTCATTTGAAGTGATTTGATTCTGTGTTCTGCTTGAACATGTTTCTAAGAAAGCACCAAGGGAAGATGTTATTATATTGACCCCACAGTTGAAGCTTAATAGTGTTTAACCCAGAGGGATGGGTATGAAGAAATATGATTCTAAGTAGGGTCCAGCAGGGTAGTTGGAAAGAAAGATAAAACTAGAAAGAGAAAGAAAACCTTTAAAAGGGGATAAAGACTTAGCTGTTATCTAAGATGCCACTGAATGTGTCCCTCTTAAGGGAAGTACTATGTGTGGCAGCTGGTGACACCATTTCTTGTATCCAGGAGGAAAACCTGAAGGCTACCCACAGAATGTATGAATAAGGAGACCATGGATCGAAGGGGAAAAGGCTGATAATACATGCCTTTGCTGAGAATTCCTGCTTTCCTCTGCTTTCTTTGTCTCTTCATACCGTAACAAGTTTGAACACAGAGGGTTAGCAATTACAGTGCTTAGAAGTTTAGGATTGAGTTAGTTCATGTTTCACAGTTGGTAAACATTAATGTAGTCTTCCAAAGTGGACATCACTATTTAGTAACTGCACTGAATACTGAAATCTGCTGATTGACAGGTATATATCTGTAAGTAGAATTTCTTCAAATGCAATTCCAGAATTGAAAAAGGTAAGGGATCTGCTTTTAGATAAAGACTTTTTTAAATGACTATATAGGCATTTCTAGTTGGCGGTTGATGTGAATGCTCAGGGAATTTGGGAAAGTGATTTAATAAAAAAGTGGCTTTTTAGATTTTTTCAATTGATGGATAAATTAGCATTATGATATATCAGGTAGAACAGGCCAGTTTCTTGATGAGGTCAGTAGGGTTGTATGTAAGGTAACAGTAGCTTCATCCTTCTTTTCCTCTGTTGTATGAGGAAAATTATTAAGATTGCTCAGTAAGGCGGGAGGAGGAGATAGGCTGAAAATAGAGATTGATACACCATTCTATTTTGTTTTGTGCCTGATTTTTCCCCTATCCTGTGGATATTTGAGAAGTCGATCACAAACAAATATCAGAGGGATGGAGTAAAAAGAGGAATAAATTAATTATAAGTAGGCCTATTTTGCTGTTTAAATAGTTTATCTTGTCATAGGAATAGGAATTGTATAGTTGGAGTTGCTGGGAGAAAGTCAAGAACTTAGACTTACATGGGAAAGCCAACTGGTAAGGGAAGTGTGATATTATCTACTTAATGTTCTAAATGTACAAAAGAATTACATGGTGAGTGTTTCATCTCCCTCTCCCCTTCCTGTGATTCTGAATCAGATCAATAGTGAGACCCAGTAATGTAACTTTCCCTGAAAGTTCTAAATGGTAATTGAAAATAAAGTAGTATAGTATGTTGAACAGTAAAGAGTGACAATAAAATTTGGGTAGAACAGTTGTGACTATAATAGATCTTCTATTTAATTTCTTATGTTTTGAGAACTAAATGTGCTATTAAAAATTCACATAAAGCACTTAATAAATCAAGCACCAGATGAAGATCAAGAGTTTAGTGCTTTCATTAAAGAATGATATTAAGATTTTTGTTTCAAATAGTTGATTTTAAGACATTCTACAAGAGGTGAAAACATTTGCATTTGGCAATTTTTATGCATTTTTACATTCCGTTTGGCTAAGGAGGAACTTGGGAAATAACATCATCGGCTACTCCACTGCACTGTTTGTACACAGACTTTCTCGAGTTTAATGTCCCTTGAACAGTTGGTTCATTGTTTATTTACGTAATCCTAGCTAGTACATATTGGTGGTGTTCAGGGCCACTGACTTGCACAGCCCTTGGGGCACTAGTCACATAGAACACAATTCAAAGTTTGTCAGACACTAACGCACTTTGATACACGTTTCAAAAATATTTTTGTTACCACAAGTTCACATGCTGTCAGTTAAGACAAAATTACTGTACTGTGATCATTTTACTACTATTAGGATGATGCTGCCTAGTCTAGTACTGTCATTTTACAGTACTAGAGAAATTTAGTTCTGATGTCTGTGTGTGCAAGATGGTGATGTGGTCCCTGTAAGAAATACTAGGGTTGGTCGTGATTTACTAAGGAGATGTAATATATTTTCTTTTCCTTTGACCTGTTAGGAATACAATAACTTGTCTTGATTTGTTGCACATTTTTGCAACGTTAATGAATTTAAATAAATAAATTGGAAAACTTGTTTTTGCCTCATTTTATCGGATTTTTCTGTCTTCCATTATGCTACTAGATTTTTTGCTCTGAATTACCTTACAAGCCTTTTCAAGTAATTTCAGACCTTTAGTCTTGTTTCTCTTTCTATAGTCTGAGTGCTTCCTGTTCCTTGCAGGAGTAAGGATAGTTTAAGGGCCTGCTCAGAGATCCCAGTTGGTAACACTTTTTTTTGCACTGCTCTACTCATTACAGCTGTTTTAATCCTTAGGCTACCATGCATCCTGGCACCTAAAGGAATTTGGGATTGTACAAACTCGAAATATAAATTGAAGTATTCATCTTGTATATTAGGTACAAATTTTAAATACAAATTCTTCCAAATTAAAATTCTTCATGAATTAGTCACCAACTATTATAAAAGCTTGCCGGTCTAAATTAATTGCCGCCGCCGTATTCTGAATGGTAAAAAAGATGCCCTGCTGTAATCTTTTCAGAATTTAACTTCAATTTAGTATTACAAGGTCTTCAACGGTATTACCCAGAACACACTTCAGGCATAAAATATGAATGTCCTACCTTTCTTTCACTGTGCATCTAACAGTGGAGAAGATTAGTTTCTCAAAATTAAAATTCCCGTACGATTCGGTAGGCCTGGTGAACTCGAATAGGAACAGCCCGCCGCTCTAGGGTTTGGCGCTCCGGCCCCGCCCTTCCCTCGCCTGGAGTGAGTGGCGTGCGAGAGCGGGCTGGGCGGGGCCTCTCGGCCCACGGACAGGGTGTCACTTCCAGGTTCCGCGAGCACTTCCGGGTCGTCGGCCCAGCTCTGCGGGCTCTGCGGTTTCTGCGGCGAGTGAAGCCCGTGGTCGGGGTGTAGGAGCGTCGTGCTGGGCTCCTGGCCGCTTCTGTCCGCTCTGCGGCGGGAGGCGCCT